TAAGGACACTTTGCTTTTAGATGAGTATCTGGCTATTTTTCAACATGCATTTCACTTAACTAAGAAAACAGAGGAAATGCTATTTGATACTTCACTTTTAAATCTGGCTTGGAAGACAGGTGCTGCTTTGAACCCACAGTATGGAAGATAACTGCAAGCTGGATTCCCGAGATGAATGTGAGGCAGATTAAGTCCAGACCACAATAGTGTCATCTTCTCCAGCAACATCACTGTCCTGGGATATCGAAGGCAAGCCAAAGTTCACACACTAGTTTAAGATACTGCTAGCTAGTTTGCAGCCAAAGCAAAAAGTTCAGACATGGGTTTGGATGCATTTTATTTAGAAATCTGTGTTCAAGCCATGTTTGCAAAAAGCAATGAATCTCCAGCGTTTATCATCAGGGGCTCAGATCCAGCTGAGTCAGATACATTGCCTAATTGTGGGTCGTTGCCTCATGTTAGTTACTTGTCTTGAAGCACTGCAGGCCATGTTTACAGTCACTTTAAGCAGACAATGAAGTGGGACAGCCTCTGACAAAGGCAATTCTGCCCCACTTCCGCCTTCTGTTGTACTTCCTACCTCGAAAGCTGGCCCAACTCATCTGTACAGGGATTTGCACAGCTAAGGTGGATCAACATAGCTAAAACCAAAGGTGGCTGCCCCAGTGCTTACTCCAGCAAACAAGGGTGTGAAAGCAGAACAAGCAGGAACAGCCAAAGACAAGATGCTACTTCTGTTGGCACTGCTTAAGTCTCTGCTTAAAGAAGCCAGAGAACTAGAGTGTATCTTGGCCATTGACAACTGGAGTGACTAATTACAACGTCATAACAGTGCATGTTTCACTGGAGATTTGCCACCTTTTGAAGAGCTGACTCCAGCTCTGCTGGATTTCTCACAGGGAGCCTCCCGTGCCTTAGGAAAGTCTCCCCCTTACCTCCAGCTCACACTTGATTTTTGTTGTATGTGCATATGGATGAAACACTCAGCTGTTATAATTTAATGCTGCTGTACTATTAGCTTCCTCAGGTACCCGTATCCAACTAAATTGAAGCAACGACAGTCTTATCAACTCCACAGACTTTGAAGCAGGATCCAGCTACGGGATTGATCCAATATGTAAATGGCAAGTCTGATTCCAAGAAGAGAGGAAAATCATCAGCTGAAATTATTTAAAGACTTGCAGATATATCTTGGCATGATAAATGGAAATGAAGAAATTTCTCAAAGAGAATGTTAAATAATTCTCAAAATAATTGTTAACACACACAGCACAACCCCCATCCCACCCCTGTCACTCAGTCAGGTTATGGTTTACCCACTGTGGTAAACTTAGCTTTTGTAGTGTTTGCGGTTATATTTGTTATTGTTCTTGGAAACAAAGACCAAATCAGAAGCTTAAAATAAAGATTTGGTGTCAAGGTGCGCTGGTCACTCTAGTGTCCACCGAACACCTGCATCAGATTTACAAAGTATTTTAGAAGGAAATTCAGGGAGCATGGTTTTGGACATTAACTGGGCCTAAGTCCAAGAAAGCCCAAGTTCCATCACCACCTGCTGTTGGAAGCATTGATATCTACCACCATTCAAATTTGAACAAATTTCCTAAGCACTCCTGTTTAAGCTACCACACCTGAATTCCTTAACTGGGGATGTCCAAGCCAGGCTCTGTTGCTCCATTCACATCTCTCTGGATCCAACAGACACATGCACAAACTATCCAGTGTGAAGTTTTAAGAGTGCTTTCAGAAGAGCTAAGACTTCAAGTGGGCACTGAGGCTGTGAATGATATCCAGGACTAACCAACCTCAGAAAATCTCAAGCATCTGACAGTGACAAGCTACTGCCTTGTGGCACTGAAATACTTCTGGAAAAGGAGGCAGGAGTGGTGACATAGTCACACCTCTGCCAATATTTTGTGTCTGCAGTTGAACGGTCCAAGACTCCAGTAGTAGTGATAGAATCACAGAATCATAGAATAGTTAGGGTTGGAAAGGACCTTAAGATCAACCAGTTCCAAACCCCCTCCCGTGGGCAGGGACACCTCACACTAAACCATGCCACCCAAGGCTCTGTCCAACCTGGTCTTGAACACTGCCAGGGATGGAGCATTCACAACTTCCCTGGGCAACCCATCCCAGTGCCTCACCAACCTTACAGTAAAGAATTTCCTCCTTATATCCAACCTAAACTTCCCCTGTTTAAGTTTTAACCCATTACCCCTTGTCCTGTCACTACAGTCCCTAATGAAGAGTCCATCCCCAGCATCCCTATAGGCCCCCTTCAGATACTTGAAGGCTGCTATGAGGTCTCCACGCAGCCTTCTCTTCTCCAGGTTGAAGAGCCCCAACTTTCTCAGCCTATCTTCATATGGGAGGTGCTCCAGTCCCCTGGTCATCCTTGTGGCCCTCTTTTAACAGTTCCATGTCCTTTTTATGCTGAGGACACGAGAACTAGGATAAAGTCAAGATGGGGAAGAGGAAGTCTTTATAGCTTAGTATCACCTCTGCATTTTCTGTCCTCTGGTCATTACAATCCTGATCACAGCAGGGCTCATTTAGGACCCTCAGTTATACCTGACAGCAAGCCTTCTGCAGCACTCTTTCTGAGCTCAAGAAGCACCACCGGGCCTTAAAGCACTTTCTGTACCAAAAGGGTCTGTCCCTGGCTCACAGCAGGATTGGCTGGCAGTCAAGGGCAGGGAAAAAGTCAAACCAAGGTACAACTGAGCTTTAGGTGAGGCAAGAGACATTGTTTTCTTTCATTAGTTTTCTTTCATTACTGAGATAGGCAGAAACTTCCGATCAAAATTCTGATTACAGACAGGGAAAACAATGTAAGTATTGTGTAAACAAGCTGAGCTGGAGAAAACACTGAATAAAGCTCCTGTAGACACCTTTCAAATATAACCACCTTGTATCTGCTGCTTTGCAGGCCAAAAATTCTTACCTGCTACAACTAAAAACTGCTTAATTGTATGGGTTTTAAGAATGAAAAGTCTCTTGTAATCCATGAGTTCTTCCAAATTTGCCATTAAAAACTATTTGCTAAGGCAGAGTGTTTGAATACCTGTCTTGCTCCAAAGCTGTCAAAAACACAGGGAACTTCAAAGAGGTTTTGCTGCAGCCCTAAAAAGAAAGGAAGTAATTGTAGTTGTGGTATTGGTAAGCCTACCAGGCTTTTCTCTTAATATCTCTAGCTACCACATAACCACAAGAACTGTCATGATGTGCATTTATATGATTTTTCCTTTTGGGTAACACCATCCAGACTAAAATACCCCATATACTAAAAGATTGATGGTTAATACTTCTTTCCAGATGCGCTCTGGTTTAGTTAAATATTTAACACATTTCTAGAAGAATGTAGTCTATAACTGCATTAATACTTCAGAAGAATGATGTCTTGGTGAGTAAAGGGAAAGGTATTCAAGGCTGGCTCTGTAACTGCTCCTGCCAGTGACCAGTAGAAATCAGACAGGTCACCTTTAAAATAATCTGATTACCACTGATAACATGGATGGCCTATAAACAGACACAAGACCACAAACCTGACAGTTTCCCCCAGGACAAGGCCTAAACAAAGTAACATTCTGTAACATGGTAAAATTGCAGACAGCAGTCTTCATTTAAATTCAAGTTATCTACAAGCAAAATTTGGTGATGCATACAACTGGATGTATCTAATTGCTGAATTTTGTGCTGTTAATAACACAGTTTTGCTTTTTTCCCTATGCAGTTCCACAAACAACTACTCAAAGGACCCAAAGTCTAAGAGCTTGAAATAACATGGATTCTTGAAGAAGTGAAGGACATCTCCACAAAGATAAAAATATGAAAACAAACCTCTAATGAGATGCTTGACTCTGGTAAACGCTTGCATTAACAGCATTGGGAGTGACTGGCAAAATTTTCAACAGTAACATCAAACTTAAGTGTGGTCTGACTAGACAGTACTTGGAGAAAGATTTTGGATGAGATTTATAAAAGTACTTAAAAGAACACGAAATAATCAGGCACCCCTTTCAATCCCATCCTTACCCTTCAGAACAGTCAAAGCAGCAATAAAATGAAAACCTGTTGAAGTGTAGAGAGGAGCTGTAATCAGGGAGCTTTGCTCCAACCCATTCCACAGCTGTTCTGGGCAACAAAGCATGAGTAACCAACTCTCAAGGAGCAACAGAAAATACTACCAAAGATCTCAAAAGCACTATTTGTTCAGGATGTACTCCACAAACCCCTAAATGGTGGCACACAGTGAAAACCTTGTGAATTTTCATGTCTGCAGTAGTAAAATAAACTATGTTCCCAGGATGCTCCCAGGCTAATTGGCACAGCACAGACACATGCCATTAAGCTATGGGGGCTGGCCACATCCCCACTGCTGACTGAGCATTCCCAGTGTCCCTGGCCTACACTAATTCACAAACCATGACCTGGAGGTGCTCTGAAGACACAAGCTGATCAGAGCCAGAACAGAGCAAAGGACAATTCTAAAAACTGAACAGAACAAGCAGCTGAGTTCCAGTGCTTGTGATATGTAAGAGCATGGATGTAGCCCCCACAACCATCATCCACAACGTCTGGGCTAAGGTAGATCTCTGATGTTACCCAAGTTCTTCTGCCCACTGTATAAAAGCAGAAAAAGGTTCATCAACCAGATGGAAGGAACATGCACCATGAAAAGATTATTACATGGACCACAATTATCCCACACAGGTCCTTCCTACTACAAATTACAGCCTTGGGAAATAAAAAGCAGCAGCAAAGAAAGGGAAGAAAGACAATCTACCAGAAATACAAGAGGCCTGGGACAGGGGAGGATTCGATTTTAGTTAAAAGACAGGCATTTTATACCTTAATTATTTTTTAACATTCCAAGTTTATTCAAAAGACATTATTCTGCAGGCATGTATCTTACAAGTTTTAAGACTGATAAAACACTAGGAATAATGTGATAACCCTAGCAAATGAACACATGGGCTAAAATCATAGCAAAGTGGTTTGTTGTTTCTTTTTAATAAAATTTTGGCCATTTCAATTCAATTTTTAATTTTGGCCAAAGCCATTCATACATAGAGCATTTTGAATAGTCCATTAAATGAACAAAACTTGACAAGATGCAAAGAGCAGACTACATTTGATTTCTGCAGTACAGTAGGGAAGAGCTGCTGGATCTGTACATCTTAAAAATGTTACATCAGCGACGAACAGAATTTTGCGCTTTAATACTTTGCTTGAAATGTCTCTTTATCCAACATGAAGTCAGCAAATCTCTGCTGGAGCTCCTTTTCTCTCTCCTGCTGTCGTTGCACATCTTCCTTCAGACACTGCAAGGAAAACATAATGAAGAAACCGTCAGTTTTCCAGTGGTCACATGATGAAGATCTTTACCAAGGGTCATATTTTAGTTCCTTTAGAGGAAGGTGTCAGAACTGAGATAAGACATCACTAAAATTACTTATTTTAAATATAAATATAAATGCAAACCAGAGAAGTTGGTGAGAGTATCAAGAATCACAGTTACTTTATTTCAAATGTCAGGTATCCTAACCTGCTTTTGACAACAGTTAATATTAAATGCCTCAAAAGGAGAGATTTCAAATAGGAAACTTGACCCAAGTATTGAATTTAACAGTTAACCATGGATCCTTCGTCCATGAGTTTGTTCAAAACATTTTTTGGGTAACCTTCTTAATCAACCCTGCTTCCTGCAACAAGGCCTTCTACAGGCCTTCTTCCACTAACTAAACAAGGCATGAAGAACTACTGCTTCTTCTAAAATTGCCAGTTGCCAGTTCATTTCATCTCCCTTCACTTTTGTTTCGGGAGAGGCAGTAAATGTATTCTGAGGATTATTCCCGGGTTAAGTCCCATTTACTAATACCAGGTACTATTAGTAGCTATCAAGCTATTTAATACATTTTTACAGTTAACTTTCACTAAAACAATCACTTCTGAATTTGCAAACACATCTATGAGCATTCACAAACAGTCTTCATAAGAACAATTTTAAGAATTGATGTACATTATCTTTTTTTTAGCAAGTGGTTGCGAAGATCTGAGACTCAAGGGAAAATTACATTCAGATGAGTACTTGTTTCTTGGAAAGCAAACCGGGCACTGGCTCAAGCCTAAGACTGCATCTTGGTCGAGGGCTGCCTTGTTAGCTGAATAAAGCATATAATATCCTGGAGATCCTTAACTAAGAGCAGTGGGTCTGAGGCACTGTTTTCATGTATCTCAGACTATTTCTGCTAGTTCCTGGCTGAAGTTAAGGCTGCTTAAGAGAGTCATCTTGTTTCTTAAAAGCCATGCCAACCAGTTAGAGGCCAGTAAGGCAGGTGGCATTATCAGGAGGTCCACATGCAAACGCTGTTAGTTAGCAACAGGACCACAGGCAAATGGCCTGAACACTGAGGATGGCTCAAAACAATAAATACAGAACAACTGCTCAGCTTCTGAAACAGAGACCCATGTTTAAATCAGTACAATAACTCCATTTCAGTGCTGGCTTTCCAGAAGTTCACCCACCTGAAAGTCCAATGACAATGTTAGCTTCAGGGAGTAATATAATTAACATGTGAAAAGAAAGGAGAATCTCCTGTAGCATATACTGGCATTTGGTCCATTGACATTTAAGGAAGTAGAAGGCTTTAGACAAGTTTCAGACCTACCTTAAGTTCTGACAGTAATTAAAAACTAGACAAGCCAAATTAAGATAGATACGGAACTTCTGCTGATTTACATTGCAGAAGATTAAGAAAATAAACCACACAAGGAAATAGAATAAAAACAAATTTAAAGAACACACTAGTAGATTAGTCCCAGCTTCTAATATATGTATCAGAGAATCTTTGATATTGAAATGAACAGCGGAGGAGTCGGGTCATAGCCAAAAGTATAATTTTAAAAGACCTTTAAAAACTTTACACAAACTCAGGCTGTGAACCTCAGAGCCTTGTAAAAACATCTTTTCCACAAAGTGCCTGTATTTGACCTAACATATTACATTTAGGAATCCCACCTCCAGTCTCCGAGGGATTGCAGCATCTTCATGTTTCTTCAGTTCCTCGAACGTACGTAGCTCCAGATGTGCCTGTTCAATTTGGTCCCATAAATCATTCAATTGCTTAATGAGGCCCATTGCCCGAGACTGATAACCACCAAGCAAGATCTTCAGCTTTTTCTCCATCTTGGCAGCCCTCTTTGCTTCAGTTGTCATGTGACCTCTGTTTATCTGTCAGAAAGAACCCAAGAATTGTTTTACCTATCCAGAATTCAAAAGCCAAACAAAACAAAACAAAAAAGTAGCAAAAATATATCTGTGGAACTCCATCAAGTTGACTGAATTCTTCAATTTCTATTAACAAATCATACTGCAGATTTTACAACCACCTAAATTTCTGGATTAAAATCCTTACAATGTAAATAGATTATTCTGGGGGATGAATAGTCAAAACAGGGGTGATGACACACGATCTGAGTACCACTTTACAGACAGGAGTTATTGCAGTTGCTGAGTTAACTAAGCAGCCGAGTCACATGACAGCTTGCTATGCCACATCCCACTTACACAGGAGCTGTTCTATGCCTCAGTAAAGTAAAACTAAATCAAGGTATTACATTCCTCGTTTTCGAAATTATATTCTTAGCCTGCAAAAGCAGCTACATCTTTCAATCCCTCTGTCTATTCAAACAACATTCATCTAAATCATATTCCATATAGTAAAAAGGCATTCTGTGATTCTATAATACTCAGAACCAGAGTCTGAATCACCTACCCTGCCTCGTTTCTTAAAAAAATCAAAGCTTTGCTGGTGATCATTCTCATATGCAAAGGACTTATACTGATTAACCAAAATCAAGAAGGTTGCACTGCTTTGAACTCTACAATTACCCAAGGTATCATCTTTTACCAATTAAACTAAACTGCATTGGGAAGGAACTACTTTCCTATCTGTCCTTTATAGCTGTAACTACAGTCAGCAAGACAACCTCAGCCACTAGGACCAGCGCAGCCATCACAGTATTATGCTCCAAGCTATTGCAAAATTTCATCAACTTTTCAATCATTCCAACTTTAATAACACACGCTCTATCATACAGCTGTATGTTTCTGTGAAATGTGCTACTCCTTAACAATTTATTCACTCATTTGAAACAGTTTTAGTAGGTGGTGCAGAGATAAACAAAGTGAATGGTCAAGGGAGCAAACTGTTAATGGGTGAGTGAAAGAGAAATCTGACTTTCTGAGCTGTCTAGTTTGCTCCTGGGGAGAGAGCAGCAGACTGCTATGCCTTTCAGTTTCTGTTTGCAATGTAGACTTAAGCTATGCCCAAGGTGCTTTAAGCATACAGAAAGGCGCCTCTTTTTCAATATTTATATAAATCTAGAGAAAATTAAATAAATAGATTAGGGATTTGTGAGAATACTCTCTGATGGAAAAGTATGAAAGCTTTAAATGTTTCCAGTGGTAAATAATATGCTATTACTGCAACAACAAATACAGCTGTGCAGTAAATTAACTATTTTCCAATTACTATTTCTTGGATGAAAAATGTGTGTTGAGAGCTAGTGACATTTAGAGATTGTGGAACAGATGGATGCACAGGCAAACAGAATTTTATTTATAACAGAGGTCTAATGTAACAAAGATCAATTGTCCCATGTTGTTTCACAGCATTACAGACAACATAAAGTATGCTTGGTGTGAAATGAGACTGCAATCAGAATGTCAGTCTCCTAGAACAGGTTAAAAAAGACCATTTAGAAAAGTTCAACTGTTCTGTTGTCCTGAGGGATGATCTGTCAATAATCAGATTTTCTAATAAAATGTTAAATACTGAGTACCTGAAATGCAGTTATAAGCACTATCTCCACCACACAGAAAAGAGACTGGATCAGGGCATTGCAGTTATAAGCATTGAATTACCTGTATTCTCTAAGCATCATCAGTAGCAGTGGCAGTACTGTCTCACGCTCTGGGATGCTCTCACACTTTTATATGCTTAAGCTGGGATTCACTTTTCTCAGCTTTAGACATTAACGTCTGAGCTTGCTGGCCAAGATCTTTCCATAATCAGAAGAGAAACTGGCAACTCTAAAGCATGTATCATCTGATCCAGGGCCTCAGAATGAGAAGAAAGAAGCATGCTACTGAAGTGTTCTTCACTGACTAATATGGGAGGACAGATAGCTTGTTCAGACAGCATTACCTAAGGTCAGGTGGATCAATCCCACTCTAAGTGTGTACTGTTTTAATGTATGAGATATAATAAAGCTTTCTTTTTCTCCAAGAAAAAAAAAAAGCCAATTCAATTATAATACTTATTATAGTATCAAACCCTGATTACTTAAACACTCTTGAAGTTTTCAGACAATGAGAACTGCAGTTGATATTTCTAAGTTGATCTGGGTATAGATTCTTACTTTCAACTACTAGAGCTCCGTAGGTTTTATACTGCTATTCAGACCTTGCTTTTCTACTGGGGGGGGGGGGGGGGTACTGGGGGAGAAAAAAGCCTTACAAGTACCTATCACAAGAAATAACAGCCCTTTCATCCTTCTCTGCTTATAGAGACAAACGTGAACACTCACCACCTTTCCTCCTCCCTCCCAACTACAAGATTTTAGGACCTACTATGTAAAGGTCAAAAAGAGGTCTTAGCTTTTGTAACAAATACTATTTATTCAAAATTGCTGACTGCTGCATTAATGCCAACAACTGCATATAACTTTAGCCCAAGCTTCGTAAAATTTTAAGGATCAGATACCAAGCTAAAAATTCTAAGCACTTATGAAGAGGTGTGTTTAAACAGTAGCCTACATTATTTGCTTAAAGCTAAGAAATAGATTTCACTAAAATCTGACAACCATTTGAGCCTAGCAGAAAACTTAAAGAGTTTTTTGAAAGATTTCTCCACTTTGTTATTTATTTTGTGCTGCTCCTTGGCCAGCTTTGGTTCTGCTGACTTCTGTACCAGCTATAGCAAAACAAGAACAGAATGTACAGACATGGGGTAGGATGATATATGACGTTAGGGCAAGAATGAGAACCTCATCCCATCCCAAATCCCCACAAAAAAGCTGTCCCTCAGGCCTAGTAGAGTTGTGTTCAATTTTCAATACTACACTGGAGATCCAAACGAGAAAACAGAACACAGCAACAGACATAATCAGAGGTTTAGAAAACATGACCTAGAAAAGGGAGACTGACTGAAAAACAAGGTAGAACTTTTGTTGTTTTTTGGTTTGGGGTTTTTTCCTCCACCTTACAAAAAATAGTGAAAATTAAGAAGAGACACAACAACATGTTTTAAATATCCTAAAGATCATTGTGAAAAATTAGTTTGTTCTTATGTCCACTGAGAAAGGAAAAGGGATTTAAATTTGGCATGGAATTCTTGGTTATTTGGAAGGTTTCACTAAGGACAACAAAGAACTGGGAAGACTGCTACGAGAACAAACACCCACCAGGAAAGATTTAAGAATCACTGACCCTGAGGAAGGAATGGCTCAAGTGCCCTCAAAACTAAATTTTCACATTCCTTGTTTCACTGAGGACCCCTCTCCTCAGTTCAATTCAAAAGCATCGGTTTTCCCTTTACTGACTGTTTGTGTCCATTAAATGTGGAGCTCCTGGTAATCCGTAAAGAGCATTAAGCTCTCTTGTCTTCTCACTGATTTTCTTAATCATGCCTGATGGATAAAAAACATGACAGAAAACTGCTGCATGTTCTTACCAGGACCACAGTTAAAAGTAAACCAACTTGTTCCTTGACCTTGGAGAATCAACATATTATAAAGCTGCTTAGCTTCTGCAGAGAAATCCTCTGCCAGCTTCAACTACGCTGGCTGAATAGGTTACTTTCAGAATCTATATAGGACTACTCCAAATGTTACTATAACTTCCTTCCTTACCTCAGACCCACAAGAGGCCCTCCCATACTCAATTCTGCTGGCAGGAGCTGGATTAACTTTATTTAAGCAGCAGGGTTTGTGAACTTGCCTCATATTGGCTCAGTCAGGCAGAGTAGCTGGAATGAGACAATGCACACTCAGATGACAGCCTTCTGCCCAACACCAGTTACACCAGCACTTCACCCCAAGGATAACGATGATTGTAGCACTAGGGCATCCTCTGTGTATAATCTGCCTTTATAAGCTTGAGTGTGCACTCTACAATAACACGTTTTTAAACTAAAATTGCTCTACTAAAATTAAACAAATTGCTCTACTTAAAAATATTTTTCCACTTGCATGCTCTTGGACAGAATTTTCCAGTTTTTGGCTTGAAAGACTGCTCTATCTGTCTACAGTTGATCAGGCAAAACTCTCTGTAGAGCCTGCCTCTTACCTCTGAGTTAATAAAAAAATAATAGTCAACTGCTGGAAACTGAGGCTTGGGGCTACTATCAAAAAATTGCATTCCCAGAGTAGAACAACATGGTCTCAGTCTATCAAACTGACATCAACACTCACATCAGCTCAACTCATCAACTGAAACCACTCCATGGTTTGACACAGCTTCAGTAAGCTGCTGCAACACTGAAGATGATGGCTACTTAACACACAAGGGGGTATGAAGATCATTAAGAAAAGGTGCTAATTACTAGCAGAGCAGTCAAAAGGGGACACAGCATGTAACTTTCAGGTGACAACAAATTTTCTTATGGAAAGATCTGGTCACAGGTGATCCTTAAATTAAGGCACTGGCAGTGCGCAACTGCAACTTTGCAATCGAAACTAGACCAAATGTTCAAACCTTGCATGGGAATATAAAGCTACCTTTCCCCAGTTTAGAATCATAGAATAGTTAGGGTTGGAGAGGACCTTAAGATCATCAAGTTCCAACCCCCCTGCCATGGGCAGGGACACCTCGCTCTAAACTGTATTACCCAAGGCCTCTTCCAACCTGGCCTTGAACACTGCCAGGGATGGAGCATTCACAAATTTAATAGGGAAGCCTCAACCTAAATTCCTATATTGCACTTTGTCACATAGATTATGTACTACAACCTACTGATACCTGCAGAAAGCTATTCTCATAGTCAAAACCCAAGAGCAATCTCCATGTGAACTATGTTTCAGAAATTATAGCAATTAGCTTTCAAATGTCATTACATGAATTGGTAGGACTGCTGAGTAAACACAGCACAGGGTACATCAAAAGCAAATGCTCCCATAGAAGTTCACAGCATCCAACTACCTAGAACTAGAATAATCCAGAAAGTTACC